CATAGGACCAAAAGTGGAATTAACTCCTCATATTAATCACAATACAACATATAAATGTAATGAAATAGGGATAACAAAGGAAATAATACACAAACACCAATGACTACGGAGGATGATCTTCCCTCCACAAACACTCCAAGAAATAAGCAAGAACAAAAATATGAAAACTATGAATTAAACTATGGAATGAATGATGGTTAAGGGATGAAAATGAGGGTCTAAATAGGCTTAAGATTGACATGTTTTAGTCTATTCACAATCCTGGATTAGTATGGGCGAATTTGTTGTGTAACAGAAAAATAAAATCAATGATAAAAATACCGTTTCCCAGAGCCAAAAGGCTAAAACCAATTTTTATTCCAAGATAATAAGAATGAACCCTGGCGAGGGGTATAAATAGCCTTCTACAAGAAACCCTAATCAAATCCAAATTAATTAAATCTTAATTAGGCCCATAATAACTCTACTAAGGACTCTACTAATAATAGGCCCAAAGTAAAACATAACATTAACTTAATAATAATAAATAAACTCTAATGACAGCCCTAACCCGGCCCACGGAAGTGGGCCCAAGCCCTGTCACGCCCCATGCTCTTCCCGCTCTGTATCAATCCATCCTCCAAAATAACCTTGTCCTCAAGGTTGAAATCCAGAAACTGGCTCACATTTGTCCTCGGGGGCTGCCCAGTACTATTACAAGTAATGAACCTTACGAGTAACTACCCGTGGTATTAAAATAAAATCAATCAATGAGAATACGTTGTAACTCTGACATAAACTTTTAGGACATATTTCTAAACAATAGATTCAGGGACTTCTGTTAGATGGAATTCTTGATTCCCTTAACTACTTAAATTATGATATTTGTTTTGAGTGTGTTAAAGAAATACAAATGAACAAGAGAGTTCTATAGTTGTGGGTCCACTCCCTAAAGTATTGCCACCCAAAGATTGTCATGAGCATATTACTCAAATAAGTGTCAAATCAGTTGAGGAATATGAGTTTTAATGGGAGTTTGTAGTGTTCCGATATTGTGAGACAAGTATTTGGTTAATTAAGTTTTCAAGGCCATTTTCAGTAGAATTGCAATGTAAAGGTTTACGTACATTTACAGTTGTTGGGTTCAGTCATCATCTATCTGCTCACCTTTCTGCTCGAATACATAGTGATATTTGAACTTCTCATGTTATTAGTTTTGCGGGTCATCGCTATTATCTAATACTTATTGATGACCACACCAAATTTATATGTAGTTTTCTCTTATCTAATAAATCTCAAACTTTTTCCATTTTTGTTAAATTGCATGCTTATGGTTGCCCTCAATTTGAACGTAACATAAAATTTTCAAAATGTGATAATGGAAAAGAGTTTGACAATTCACCTTTTCAGAATTTTGGCAGTCGACATGGCTTACATTTTCAATTTTCTTGTCCCTATACATCTCCCAAAAATGGTAAAGTTGAGTGTTTCATACGGACTATTAGTAATATTGCTCGTACGTCACTGCTTCATGCGTTTATTCCATCTCACCTATGACCTCATTCAGTTCAAATGACACCTACCTACATAATATACTTCCATGTCTTTCCTCTCCCAAACCCACTTACTATATCGCCGCACCCCATCCTATACTCATCTCCAAGTATTTGGGCGATTATGTTTTTCTCATATATCTCCCCTTACCATTCATAAACTCTAAGCCCGTTCCACACCTTGTGTGTTTCTTAGGTTTCCTAAAAAACACAAAGGTTATAATTATCTTGACATTCAAAGTCATAAAATACACTTCTCAAGATGTCTTACTTTCGACAAGGAGGTTTTCCCATTTAAACACATTGTCCCCTACCTATACATTCTTTGATGACACCAGTCCATCATGGCTACCTTTGGTTTTCTCTGATGCATATTTGCCCCTCCCTATATCAGCCACATCCCCTTTACATGTCACCACACGATAACCCCCTTTCACTCCCTTATCTCCACAAATACATGTCTCCCAAACCTTTCCCTCTAGCATACATGCATCACCACCAACAATTATCCCTTCATCCGTACCCTCCTCCTTTAGCCCACAACATCCCATCAATACCCCAACCAGAATATCCACCTCATTTATATATCCCACTACCTCTCCTCCCGTCCAGAGTATTCCAACTGTCTATCATCCCATGCATACTCATACCTCTGATGGGATTTTCAACCCTAAGAAGTTTCTTAATTTATCTCACACTACTACTCTATCACCTTCACCATGGTCACCTCTTTCTGACTTACAAGACCCCAAATGGAGGGTTGCCATGTATGATGAGTTTAGCGCTTTATGTGTTGCATGTGATTGTTCAAACATAAATAAAGTCATACGACTCATTGGATTGACATAAAGCTTTCTTGGTGGTTAATGAGATTTCTCAACAAATTGGGGTGGATTATGATGAGACATTTAGTCTTAGTTTAACATTTCTTTGCTCTTGACTTCTTCATCGTCTGGATGTCAAAAACGCTTTTTCCACGGTCATTTGGAGGAAATCGTGATTATGCATCAGCTACCATGTTATCGAGATTCTTCTCGGACCTCTCATGTATGTTGACTTTTGAAGTCTTTATATGGCCTGAAACAAACACCCAAACCTGGTATCATCGGTTTGCCACTCATCTTGCTACCCTTGGATTTACTCACAATACTAGCGATCAATCCCTATTCATTTATAGTTAAGGCTCAAACACTGCTTATATACTTATATACGTTGATGATATAATCCTGACCGCCTCTCCCGATTCTTTTTGCCAGCTCATCATCTATAAGCTTGCTTCTGAATTTGCTCTATTGATGTTTGTCTACTTAGCTACTATACGTTTTGAGCATATCTGTCAAACGTCATTCCAGATATCTTTTTCTCTCTCCTGGGTCGTATATGTTGTTGATATTTTACGCCGAGTGGGTATGTGATTGCAATCAAGTTACTACTCGTGTTGACACTCAGTCAAAACTTATTAGTGCATCAGTATCCATTGGTAAGCAAGTTGTTGATTCTACTTTATACCATCAGTATCCAGGGGCGCTTCAATATCTCACATTTACTCATCCTGGTATCTCATATGTCGTGCATCAAATTTGTCTTTTCATGCATGGCCCACGGGAACCCCATTTTCTTGCTCTCAAATGGATCCTACGCTACATTAAGGGTACCTCACACTTCGGGCTTCATCTTTATGCTTCGAGTCTCAACTCTTATCTCTTACACGGATGTTGATTGAGGTGGTTGTCCCAACACTCCCTGCTCTACCTTCGACTACTGTTTCTTAGGCGATAATCTTCTTTCATGGTCTTCCAAAAGGCAGCCCACATTGTCATGTTCTGTTGCTAAAGCCGAGTATCGTGGTGTAAGCAACACTATTGCTAAAACTTCCTGGCCCCGCCCGCTACTTGAACTTCATTGTCCTCTCGCCAAAGCCACGCTTGTTTACTGTGATAATATTAGTTCTATTTAAATGACATGCAATCCCATCCAATATCAAAGAACTAAGCATATTGAAATGAATATTCATTTTGATCTGCGAAAGGGCTTCTCGTGGTGAAGTCCGTGTTTTTCATATTCTTTCTCGGCACTAGTTCACCGACATTTTCAAAAAAAGGTTTACCCCACTCTCTCTTTGAATTCCGAACCAGTCTCAGCGTCTGTGAACCTCCCTCTTCCACTGTGGGAGTGTGTTAACGGACATATACACCCACACAATCATACTATCATACACCTCTATTGCTAAGTCATTCGAATGATTCTTATATTTATCATTAATGTGTAATGTATATATCCGATATAATGTTTAATAGTTGGCTACTTTTATGTAGTATTACTTCCGTATATACTCCCTCTATCCCAAAATGATTTGCGAAATTGATGTTTTTTGGTCAATGACAATCAACTTTGACCAATGATGTTTTTCAATATGAAATTATTTTGAATATGAAAATTATATCAAAATGTTCTTTATTTAAAATATTTTCATAAAAGTATAAAATTTATAAATTATATACAAGTATAATAATTAAAATCATTATCCAAAGTTTTTCAGCATTGACCAAGAAAAGTAAATATGGCAAACCTTTTCGGAAAGGATGTAGTATATGTTTTTAAGATAGAAGAGGACTGTAACCAAACATTCCAGCCCAACTGGTTGTGAGGTTATCGTACCTACTGAGAGGTCTCGAGTTCGAAACCCGCTAGGCACATAAGGGTTTGAAACTCAATGAAGTGAAATTCAGGCCTGATTATTCAAGCTCCCTCCCCCAGACCCCCTGGAGTAAAATAAAAATAGAAGAGGACTGTATCATAGTTATCTACTATACCTGCTTACATAAAATTAATCCAAAGACTCCTTTACGACAAATTTTGTATCTAACTTGTACCATTTAAAGTATTGAATCCTATTTTATTTCTATCAGCATCATTTAAAATGTTGAAATCGTATCATACTATCATATACTCCCTCCGTCCCTTATAACTTTGCCAACTTTCCTTTTTTGGATGTCCCACACAAACTTTGTCATTTTCCCTTTTCAGTAAATAATTTGTGATTCCAGTTAATTCTATCTCATCTGCACAAACCTCAACCACACAATTTTTACTTTATTAATCTACGCGCCGGTCAAACTTGGCAAAGTTATTAGGGATGGAGGGAGTAGAATCGTAAATAATAACTTTTCCAAATTAAAGACATCGGCCAAAATATATTATCTTCTGAAGAAAATGTCATGTTTCACTTATTCTAGAGGACTTTCAGGCTAGAAATAGAAATTCCTATGAAAAGTTCGCAATGTGCTCAATTTTATTAGTTTGCAATACATGACCTACAAATGAGTGCAGTTGCATAATTAATAATTTCCAAATACATGAGTTATAAGACAAAATCATCAATTATTTGTTATTTTTGTGATGTACAACTGTAAAAAATAATGTTATATTATTAGTTTAGTTAGATTAAATAAATATGCATTAAAAGTTAGTTCTAGTTTTAATTTTTTCCCACATCTGTGCACCATTGCAAAATATAGTATGCAACAAGTTCTTGCGAGGCAAAATATGCAGTCAAATAAGATGGAGAATCTTGATCACCGTCATTATCATCCACCTATCCAGCTTCATGAGGTAATTAATAATGTTCTTAATTGATATAACAATGATCGTAATTATTTTGATCAGTTACAATGCTCTTCTTCATCGTCAAAAATTATAATATGTGTTTGCGTAATTCTCACGTTATATTTTCGTTAAAAATAAAGAGCCATACATCACATATTGATCCAACCCTCCCACTATTATATACCCTCAAATTAAAGTGGGCAACATGCTCTCAAATAAGCTAAAATCCATATTGATATGCTAGCACAAAATATGTGCAAAGATACTTTTTATTAAGATTTAGGAATAGTAGCTAAAAGCTTTATATGTTGGTGTAGAATAGCTCAATACGCTCTGCAAGAAGGCGGCTCATTGGATACAAATCAATCTTATAGTATGTATACTCGTTATTGAGGCTTATAAGGATTTAATTGCTCATTTGAGCTTAATAGTTCTCATCTGAGTTATATCATAAAAGGCTAATCTAACCGGAGGAATGGCCCAATACTTTGTATGTTGGTGTGAGATAACTTAATAATTATCAAGTAACACCCTGCTATAGCGGCAAAGCAGTCGTTGGGCGCTATAAGATCACGTACATATAGCATTGTGTTTGGCTCTAGCGGGTATAGCGGCCACTATAGGAGGTGTGGCGGACGCTATAACAATGCTATTTGCTTGTCTGTGCTAAAATCAGGGTTTCCTTGTGTAACTTTTGTTTTCAGAAGTATTAAGGCTGAAGAAGACTTCTTAAAATAAATAGCAAGTTAGTGTACAACCCCTCTATCAGAGGCGGATGTAGGGGTGAGCTCTCCTAGGCTAGAGCTCACCCTAAATTCTTAATAATTTAATATTCAGTATTTAAATTGTGATATAATTAGTGAAAATCCCATCTCAAATATTAACATAAACCCACCTCAAATGAATAATCTCAATATGTGCTCCCTTGTCTTTTAAAATTTTACCACGTTTGAGTGTCAAAAGTGAAAGTGCGTGTTACACTTCACAGGCCTAGGTGTAGTGATAAGAATGCTAAATTTGCTAGGTCATCACGCGAAAGCGGCGCGTCACTCCAATGTCAGGGGGTGGTGTCAAATATAGAAGACTAGGTGCTAGATTAAGCTTTGGGATGTGGAAGGTTGGCTCTCTTACGGGAAGATCATGTGAGGTGAGGTAACCGAGTTTATGAGAAGGAAGAATAACAACATTATGTGTGCGCAAGAAACTAAGTGGGTTGGAGAAAAGACACGTGAGATTAATCCCGGAGGTTTTAAGTTGTGATATTCTGGAGAGATAAAACTAAATTGAGTAGGCATTATTTGGCATGTGATTATGTTGAGGGTGTGGTGGAAGTCTTTAGAAAGAACGACCACATTGTGAGCATTAAATTGGTGATAGGAGATAAGATCATGTCCGTGGTTAGCGCCTATGCACCACAAGTAGGATTGGATGCATCTATTACTCAACAACTTTGGGAAGATCTTGATGAAGTGGTGCAATGAGTGCTAAGGGGATAGAAGTTGGTCATAGGAGGCGACCTCAACAGACATTCTAGGTTTTGACACAAGAAATGAAGTGGGAGAAAACATTCTAGATTTTGCCTCAACATATAAATTGACTATAATGAACACTTGATTCAAGAAAAGAGATCATCACCTTGTGACCTATAGAAATGGAGCTAATAGTACCCAAATCAACTACTTCTTAGTGTGGATAACTTGGAGAACTAGCTAGACTGATTGTAAGGTTATCTCAGGTGAGAGTATTGTCACTCGACACTCGACATAGGATGCTTGTGCTTGATTTCTGGGTAAGAAGTATAGAAGACGGGTTAAGCAACAAGTAGAGCCAAAGATAAAGTGGTGGAGGCTCGAGGGGGATCTCCAACAAAGTTTTTTGCATAAAATGTTGAAGAAGTATGGTGTATTAATAATGACGTACGTGTAGTTAGCAATGAATCTAAAGAATATTTGCCACCAAAAAAGGACACATATTGGTGGAATAATGAAGTGAGATAAGCAATAAAGAGTATAAGAGAATGCTACAAAAAGTTTGGCAAAAGTTAGATCGATGAGAATATAGATGAGTACAAGGAGGCTAAACGAAAACCAAAGAAAGACATAAAGGAAGCAAAAGAGAAAGTAAAAAAGGAGTTTTATGTAAAATTGAATTATAAGGAAAGAGAAAGCGATATTTAAAAACTTGCTCGTCTTCGTGATCATAAGACTCAAGGTATCATAAAAGTTAAGTGTGTGAAAGATGTCGATTAAATGAGTAATGGAGGACGGGAAAATAAAAGAGAGATGAAGGTCATACTTTGATGCCCTATTCAACGGGAATAAAGTACAAGGTATTGAGAATCTTACTATACAGATTGTAGGGTAAATTGGGAGTTTGTGACAAGGATCCAAACGAAAGAAGTTAAAGAGGCTTTGAGAAAGATGAGGTGGATGAAAGAAGTGAGTCTAGATGCCATAGTGGCATACCGATCAAGGCCTAAAAAGTTTGAGAGAGAGCAACATCGAGTGGTAACACATTTCCCCTATTTAATGATAAGGGTAATGTATAAGAATGAGCCAACTATCGAGGCATTAAGCTTATGAGTCATACAATGAAACTTCGAAGAATCAATTCGGTTATATGCGTGAACGCTCAACAACTTAGGTCACTCACCTTTTTAGACAAGCTGTAAAGAAGTATAGAGACACTAAAAAGGATCTGCATGTGGTGTTCATTGACTTAGAAAAAGCATATGATGGAGTATATGGGTCTAGGCCCCAGGACCCACATACTCAGAAGAACAGAAGGTACCACGATCACCGGGTGACCTCGTCGGCCATGCTCTCATCGGCCATGCTCTCATCGGCCATGCCCTCATCGGCCAGGAAAAGATCTACTCAGAATATGGTCCAGAAGTCCGGAGAACCGGGTGCCCTCATCGGCCAGAAAGTTCTCATCGGCCATGCCCTCATCGGCCAGCAAGAAGGCCACCCAGAATATGATCCAGAAGCCCGGAGAACCGGGTGACCTCGTCGGCCATGTCCTCATCGGCCATGCCCTCATCGGCCATGCCCTCATCGGCCATGCCCTCATCGGCCATGCCCTCGTCATCCATAGATAGCCTCTAGAACGGGATTTTATACTTATCATTTCTATACACTTTGTATCCGCCCCATTAGTGGCCCTATAGTAAATGGGCCTCCCAAGCCCAAGACTTGGGAGCCCAGGCCTAATTTTCTCTATAAATACTCCCCTTGGGAGTAGTTGTAAGGGTCCAGAATTCACTAATACAAAGCAAATATACTACTTCTCTCTCTAGCTCTCACTTCTCTCTAGATATATACTCTATCAGCATATAATAGAGTATCACTAGAAGTTCTTTGGTGAGTCTTAACTAGAAAAGACATATCATGCAAGTATATCAGGCTCATCATGGATATGCTTGAGGTTTGTACTACAAGTGTTCGTACTATTGTAGGGAGGATTGTAGAGTTACCTATTACTATCGGAGTGCATCAAGGATCGGCCTCTGAGTCTTTTCTTATTTGCAATAGTCATGGATGTACTTACGAAGTCAATTCAAGAAAATATACCATGGTGCATGATGTTTATCGACAATATTGTATCGATGGATGAGACACAATTGTGTGTTAAAGCAAAGTTAGAAGTACAACAACAAACACTGGAGACCAAGAGTTTCACATTGAGTCTAAGCAAGACCGAATATATGGAGTGCAAGTTTAGTCGAGGTAGAAGTAGTTGTAACAGTGGTATTACCCTTGATGGTAAGGATATACCGGTCTATGATATGATCCGTTATTTGGGATCCATAATTTAGGACGGTGAACTAGATGGAGATGTATCCCATAGAGTCATAGAAGGGTAGACGAAATGGAAGAGTGCATAAAGATTTCTATGTTATCGAGGTATGCCGACTAAGGTGAAGAGTAAATTTTATCGGACAACAATTAGGATATTTTTACTTGGATTGTAATTTGCTGGTCTGGTCTGGTTTCTTTATATTTTTATAACTATCTAAGTCTGGTCTGGTCTGGGAGGAATTACAGTCCAAGTAAAAACATCCTTAGGTCTGCATTAATGTATGACGTAGAATGTTGGGTGGTGAAACAATGTTATATTGAAAAGATGAATGTGATATAAATGCGAATGTTATGTTGAATGGTTGGACATATCAGATAAGGCCGCTTAAGGAATGTGATAATCAGACAAAAGGTAGGAGTAACATCTATAGAAGATAAAATGCAAGAGTCTCGATTGCGGTGGTTTGATCATGTGTGTAGAAGACCGAGTGATACACTTGTTAGAGGAGTTGAGAGATGGGAAGAAGAGACGGGGATGAGAGGGAGAGGAAGACCCAAATATACATGAATTAGAAGAATCATAACTGATATGTTTTTTCTTGAGTTAGATGAGAGCATGAGTTTGGAGAGGACAAATTGGAGGGTGCATATTTGTGTGGAGGATTGGTTGATTGATTCTTTTCTCTCTTTTCTCCCTCTTTCTTTACCATTTTTCAACGAGAAGTGTAGGTCTGAATGAAAGCAGATTGTACTAATCAAATCATTGTCTAAAGTAATCACCCTTGATTTAGAAGTTAACTATCACATTAGGGGACAAAGGCAGTTTCATGTCAATTGCCAACAGGTAGTAATACTCCCCTATAACTTATGCTTGCTGGCAAAGCTGCTGCCTATGCCTTAGATCTACCTTCAACTATTCTACTCGTACGAGATTGATTAAGATTAGCAGTTAAACCATATATTTGCTCAACTGATGGAATAAAGGTTATTGATTTCTATTTAGCAGGATAATCGAACCCAGGCCCAGCTTATGAAAGACTGCGTGGACAAGGATCGCCAGCTGAGGTATTTATTAGCTTTCTGATCGATCTTTGCAGATTAATATTACGGTGTTTGTTTGAATCCCAGATCAATAGTCGAATATAATCTAAATAATAATATGGAGAAATTGAGTAGACTAAGAAGAACAATTCATCAACAATCAATACCGTATATTCATAATACACGTATGAATTGTTGAGAGAGAAAACTAGAGGTGCTCTACGAGAATAATAAGTGCGGAATAAATTGTGTAGAGGCTTATGTATGTTCGAACCACCTCTGCCTTTATTTATAGGAGAGAAGTCGAGCATCCTAGTACAATTAAGAAACAGAGTAGGGGCGTGCGTGCGTGTGGGCTTATCTGCCTAAAAAGCATGTTTCTCTTTCTCAACAATTAAAAGCCTGCTAATACTAAGACTAATTAATCAAAGATAATTACAATTAATTTGAACACAATAAATAATGTTCTAACCGTGTTATTATCGGTGGAGGAACCGTTTGATGTGTATATGAAAGTATATAAAAATAATATATGTTCAGGCAACTGAGAGGAGAAGATATACTAGAGCTTGACATGGACGGTTTGATTACACTGGAGAAACAGATGGAGAGAGGATTGAGCCGTGTTCTGAAGATGAAGGTGATCTGTTTCTATCTGTTAGATACTCCCTCCATATTATTGTACTTCCACTTTATTTGAATTATTAGGAACTTTAAGAAAAATAAAAAGTTCACAGATGTAATTTAAAACGGATAATTTATTTATAAACACAAATTTGGGGTAAAGTGTGAAACTAAACCAAATTAGGACAGCCCATAATAATGCATTTTGATATCGAATCAAAGCAGTATCCTAACTATATTGAAATCTCACTTGCATTGTAATGTTTTGGTCTTATTTGGTATGCAATGGTCTATTAAGATTTAATCTGGCAAGGTCCAGTATTATGTGCATTTTATTACGTATGATTTGTTGTCTATGTCTAGTCTGATGTATTTTGTTTAAGTTTGATCATGCATAATTTAATCTGTTTAAATCCGTTCAAAACTTAATTAGTTTTGATTTGATCTAGAATTGAAAGCAGTTCAAGGAAAAACAATTTCATTTTGATTTTTAACCCGAGTAGTTTGTTTTATCTTTTATGAACGGATACACACGCAGGGGTAATAATGTACGTTATTGTTACATTACATTTTTCAGGACACGTTACGCTTGAACGAGATAGCTGCTCTCAAGAATCAGGCTAGTCATCGAACATTATCATAATCTTTGACTTTGTTATCATGCGTTGAAAAAAAACTCCATGTCAGTCTCTGATTAAAGTCCAATGTGTATCCTGCCAATTAACTGTCCACCAATGCGGGAGTCTTTATTCTAAAATAAAATTGTTCTGTAGAAAAACAAGATTCTCTGATATTTACGACGTATGAAAAAGTACTAAATTAGTTTTTATTTATTTTAGTGGAGGGTATTTGGAATAGCCTATATGATTATATTCTTTGTGACTGATTGGTTTTTGAGCTAGGGATTTTTCTTCTCCTTCAAGAATTCTGGAAACCCTAGTGAAACACATTAATTTATTCCTCAAACGTTGTATTGCGTATGTACCTGTAAGCTCTATCTACCTCACAGGGATGTGAAATTTATATGTAGGGTGCTTTTCTGAAGGAAGAGAATGAACAAATGAAACAATTCGTCCATCAGCAGGTTATAACAATTTCAATCTTGATTCACATGTGGTTGTAATAAGAAATTGCATGCAATTGGAGTACAATATGGATATGTTTTGTTCATAACTTGTTTAGGCATGTTAAAAATAAAAGGAACTCTTCAAAATAAGAGTGAATGAGTAATATTTTGAAAAAAGTCCTACCTACATTTTACTTTTAGAATGTTCTTAATGACGGCTCTCTCCGTCCTAAATTGATGGACCTATACTTTTTGGGTTCAAAATGATTCATACAACTTTACTTTATTGCACTGTTCATTCTTTTACTTCTATTGTTCATAAAAAGAAGAATAAATGGCAATCTACTTTAAGCTTCTTTCCAAAAGGGAAACAAGACTATCACTTTGGGACGGAGGGAGTATAATTTTCTAGTATGGTGAATGTTTGTCATGTGTATTTTATGATTATGTACTTTATGATTGTCGAAATCTGATCAATCTGATATGTTCTGGTTTATTTAAGTCTAGTCGAGTCTGATATGTTCTGTGTCTGAAACCAATCCAATTAAAAACAGAGTTTTTCTTGAGTTCATGTCAAAAATAGTCTCAAATTTTCTCCACTCGTTTCAATTGTTTTAATTTATATCACCAATTTTCTTTGGATTATTATTATGATGTGTAGATGGGCAGGGGGAAGAAACCTCCATCCGATCAACTAGTTCCTGGGCAGTCGGACAATTCGATCTCAGAAGCGAGCAGCCCAACTAATAATCAATGTTGCCATGGCGACTCTGATACTTCCCTCAAGTTAGGGTATGCACATTTCATCTCCCTAAGTTTTATACATTTGAGTACTAAATACGTTGACTTCAACTGAAATCTGATAAAATTGGTGAAGTTATGCCGGAAATGACTGAATTGGCCGAATTGATCAATTCCTGAAAAATTATATGAAAACCATATTTTATTAATAAAACAAAGAAAATGTTATATGAAAATAGCTAAAATAGTCATTTTCAACAAATTCGGTTTGAAAAATAATTTCAAATTTATTTATTACACAAATTCCTTGCACGAAATAGATATATGTTTTTGGTAAAAAATTGTCTGAGAAGGTGGATACGTAGAAAGTAAGAGTTACCAAAACTGGCTCATAATCTCTTTGTATAGTAATTATCAATCTATCAATTTCTTTTTACTTTTAAATTTTGTCAACATTCATAATTTTCTTACATTAACTTAAATTTGATGGTCTAGTTTAATCTAGTATGATTTGATTTTATCTAGTCTGATATATACTTCGTATATTTCATTATTGTCTAAGATCGGTCTCATTTGATCATTTTTTATGTCTGATATGTTTATTGCCAGGTATATATAGGGATGAATTTGTGGTGTGTTAACTAAGCTTTAATGTACCTGAACGTTGGATATAAATGACCAACACGTTGGGCATTAATAAGTAAAAACTGCAGGACCTTTGTTATGTATGAATAATATCTAGCTGATACAGGATATACTTGAAAATTTAATTTGCAGCTTGCCTTTTCCACACTGAGGTTACAAGGAAGTGGGGGATACGCCAATAATATGTGGTTTTTAATTAGCATGGGACACATTATCCCAAATAATTTGTATATGATTTTATCTAATAATTTGATAGAAGAAAAGGATTGAACAACGGTGTTTGTGAAATTATTAATACTATAAGAGGGTATCCTTTGTATTATATTATATACTATAAGCAGAAAAGATCAGGTCTGAACGTTCGGACCTGAGCCTCCGTCCGAACACCGTCACTCGGTGTGGTTCTTGGTGGAATTTTTTGATGAAAGTTTTATGGTATGTACTTCATCAAGTCTAGTTTATCCATACTAACTTTCAGCTCAAAATTCAATCGGGAAGGCCTTCAAATGATTTTTTGAAGTTGACTGCGTTTTTCGGACATGATAAGTTCTCATAATATAAGTATGTATTTCGAAATAATTAAGCGTATATACGAAACTCACTAATGTGTATTATAGCCAGTTCGTATATGGTGTAATTTGACTAGGGATGTCAAAAAAAACTCGACCCGCAATGATCCGCCTTGGCCCGAGACATTTGGGTCGGGTCTGGCCCGCCTCGTCTTGCAAATGGGGCGGGTCCACCCCGCCCCGCTTATACAATGGGGCGGGTCCGGGTATTAGTATTGACCCGTGCTGCCCTGACCCGCTCAATATATAAGTATATACATACTTTTTCTTAAATTATACTGCAAATATACTTCAACATACATATTTTTTAATACAATAAATCATAAATTCTTTGATTTTATAATATATCAATATATATATTAGACTGAGATGAACGACAGATTATCAATGTCTTCTTTATATATAGCATTTGAATACATATATTCAAGTATTAATATAATTAAATAGATTAACTATTCAAGTCTAAGAGATTTTTCCTTAACTTTTGAAATTTCTAACGTATCGTGAATTTGGTTTAATATATTAATTTTTAATAATTATTTAAAGATAAACTTTATGTAGATTCAATTGGTAATAACTTCTCACAAATAAAAATACATACTAGCTAATTAGGTTACGGCGGGGCGGGCGGGTCATGGGTCAACAAGTTTGGACCCGTGCAGGTCACGGGCGGGGCGGACCTGCCTTGTCAAGTCACGGGACGGGTTTGGGTCTTGCAGTACCCGCCCCGACCCATTGCCATGCCTAAATTTGACCATTATTAAAAACTTTCTTATAAGACATTCTTGAGCATTCTCAATGATGTCTTTACACTTATAATTAAAAACTTTCACGATTTTTTTTTAGAAGTTCTTTCCCTACATATATATAGTAGTATAGTACCGTTAGCGTTTTTGTCAACTCCGGCTAATTAGGTATCGTTGTAGACTTGTAGGCAGTATGCGTGAAAAAAAATTCTTAGGTATATATTATGTATAAATATTTTTAATCTATAAAAAATATTTGATATTTTAAACTTTGACCCTTTCAATGTAAAATTTTTAAGGACCGCCTCCCTAAACTATAGATTTCTGGCTCCGTCACTGGTTGTAGGTGTCCATCTTCATCTACTTTCATATTTCCTTCATCATTTTTTATTTCTCTGTCTTCTTTGATTTCTCCCCCTTCGATCATTTTTTGTATTTTTTCGAGTGAGTCTATTTGAACTTCATTGTAATTAGGGTTGACTTGGTCCGATCCGGACCCGGTTTTTGGCAGGCGAAGCCCATGTTCGATCCGGTTACTTCCAGGTTTGGGTCGGTTCCTCTAGTACTCATCGGATAGTCCGGTCCCGGTCCCATTCTATTTTCTCCCCCGTTTCCAAGCCAAAAAAACATTCCGGTCCGGGACCGGAACCGCCCGATTAAGTCCCCAAATGGATAAAGCCGGACCTGGTAACATGTTTGGGCGGACTAGGGGCGGTCCCAAATCCGATCCGGATTTCCCAAACTGTAATTGTAATGGGTAAAACCGTAAAAGGAAGGGTGAAAAACTATGCTCCATATTTGATACAGTATTCATAACCACATAGTACGTACTAGGGATGGACTGGGACGCATCGGCCCGGCCCCACCACTGTTTAGGCCTGGCCCCGCCTGGCCCGGTCAGGCGGTACCAGAACAGGGGCCCGAACAGGGTATAGGAGAGGGCGGGCTACGAGTCTAGAATATAGGTGATCAGCCTGTCCGGGACCGGACTGGGCCCTTTTTTTTTTAAATTTTTCGCAATTAATAGGCTGCTAGGCGGATGGGTTGGGGGAGGGGGTTGCGGGTGGGGTGTAACATCCCTAAATTTCCCGCCCAAAATACATTTAAATAATACTTTATTTATTAACTTTATTTGAAACATCAGAATTGTGCAGCGGAATTTCAAAGGAAAATGGGGCGTTACCGCCACACTCGGTTCTTCCATAACCGAGTGCACAGGTTAAATTAAAACAACTTAAACTAATGTCTGCTTTCTGTACTTAAACTCATGTATGCTTTGTGTACTTATAGAAGGCTAATTGGAAAAAATACAATACTATTTTTGTAGTTTTAAAAGTAGATTGGGTAGCCACGCCACTAAAATTGACACAATTTAATAAAATAATCAATATAATATTTTCAATTAAACAATTCATAATAATATGGAAAAAAATCACCATCCTAATTTTTCAATTTCACAAATAAAATCACAATGACACAAATTATTCACCTATTCAAAATGTTTTAGAAAACTAGGAACTTCTTGCTAGTCATCAATGGCCTTTCAAAGGCAAGGCAACCTATTCGCGCTAAAGACCAGTTCTCTAACGGCCAACCGCTGCGCGCTCTCATACACTCACTCTTCTATCCCGCTCCCGCGCTCTTCTATTCCTTCTCTCTATCCATCTCGATTTATCATTCTTCCTTCCGTTGCATCTCCTCTCTGTTTCTGACCATTGATCGCAGTATGGATGAAGAATACGACGTCATCGTTCTCGGAACCGGCCTCAAGGAATGCATCATCAGTGGCCTCCTCTCCGTTGACGGACTCAAGGTCTCCATCTCGATCTTCACCATTTTCCCCGTTTGTTTTTTATAATCATTTATTTTGCTTTTCATGCAATCTAACTCAGTTAGGAATTAGGATACGGTTTCAGACTTTCAGATTAGTTGACTTATATGAATCAAATTGAACTCTTCCCTTTTCGTTTGTGATATACTCGTATTTGTTTCAAATTTTAATCATGCGACATGTATGTAGCCTCCTTGCTCCAATATCCCGGTCAATTAGACTGATCCGATTAGTAAATTTTATTACGTGCAGAATTTGCATATTATCATCAAATATAATACTCCGAACTGTTAAGACCTGTTTCCATCTAAAAGGTTAACCGTAGATAACAGAAGTAGCTCAAATTCTTATACATTGATTTATTACTATGTTATATTAATCGTGGGACAAATACTTCAACAAATATTGATGATCAATATTATTATTTTAGTATATAGCCACTTGCTTTCTTTGTTGTTGTATATATTAAAAATAGATGTTTCGAGCTTTCAGCATATCAACAGTGCAGTGTTATTTGATAGGTACTGCACATGGATAAAAATGATTATTATGGAGGAGAGTCAACTTCCCTTAATCTAATTCAGGTAACTTCTTTAAGGATAGCTTTGTCAAGAAATGCTCACTTATCATATCAGGACCAAAGGGTGACCTCTTTCTACTAGCACATTATTTAAAATTTATCCTCTTTGTATAAGCCTCTGAGCTTTTCCATATGTAGCTTTGGAAGCGGTTCAGAGGAAATGACCAGGCTCCAGAGAGCTTGGGTGCAAGCAAAGAGTACAATGTTGATATGATTCCAAAAGTATGTATAGTTCTTCTACAACTTCTTTTTCCATATGGTTGTGCATTTTCTTATTAAATTACTAAAAGCCATTCCAATGTGATGTTGGCAGTTTATGATGGCAAACGGTGCTTTAGTTCGAGTGCTTATTCATACTAATGTTACTAAATATCTGAACTTCAAAGCTGTTGAGGGTAGTTTTGTTTACAATAAAGGCAAGGTGTGTTTCCTAAATTCAGACTTTCAACATAACTGTTGTAGTGTTTCGTTTACTTCATTTGACTATATACTCCTTCGTAATTGAACTTTTTAGATCTACAAAGTCCCTGCTACTGATGTTGAAGCACTGAAATCCTCACTGATGGGGTTGTTTGAAAAGCGTCGTGCCAGAAAGTTCTTTATTTATGTGCAAGAATTTGATGAGTCAGATCCGAAGACTCATCAGGGAATGGATCTAAACAATGTCACAGCTAGAGAGTTCATAGCGTAAGCATGTTATGATTAAGTTTTCATTCTCATGTTGAACTTACGCTGTCCTATGTCCTAACAAAACTATAATTTTGTAAAGAAATTAACTATCAATTTCTCACTTAAAAAACTTATCCTGTTACTTGAGTAACCACATTGTACACCCCTTACCTTTCTCCTGAAAATGCCAAAAGGAGTAACTGAAATAATGTGTATCATATTGCTTGATTAGTCACATATGTTACTTTCATTTCCGTTATCTTTCGCCACAAATGTTCAAAAAGAAGTAGCTGAAATTTTTGATAAGGTTTAATATCAATATATCTCAAAGGGCTGAATATCTAAAGTTTAACACTTAACACTATGAAGTTTTTGTTTTAAATAATGCAATCCCTATGCGTTTATGTAAGTAACTTGGTGACAGATTCTGAGTGACAGCCTTCACTATGCCAGAGATTCTGACGTTAATTATCGCACTTTATTCTTTACATGCTTAATGCTGCAGGAAATATGAGCTTGAAGACAACACAATTGATTTTATTGGACATGCCTTAGCTCTTCAGCCTGATGATACGTATTTGGATCAACCAGCAATGGACTTTGTGAAGAAAGTCAAGGTGATATATCATGATATCATCCAAAGATTATGATTACTCTTCTCTAGCTAGTAATAGTTTATGCTATACGCGAAGTCTCTCTAGTCTCTAGTCAACAAGAGATGTTTTTTATTTGCTAGATTAATTTAAATGGAAAAGTTTTATCACTTTTAGTTTATGTTTTTTTGCGACTTAATTTCCAGACAATCAATCCGTAATATTTTAAAAATGCTGGATCTGCACTTTCTTTTCCATGAATAAAATTTGTTAAATGACCTGTTTAGTTTCTTTCTAAAGCTATATGCAGAGTCTTTAGCACGCTTCCAAGCAGGATCGCCGTATATATACCCAATGTATGGACTTGGGGAATTGCCTCAGGTTTGTTCTGCCTGCATTTGAGCACGAACGTAACTGCTGTTACTTTGGTCCTTTTGATGTGCGTATTTTTTTCAGGGATTCGCACGTCTTAGTGCGGTTTATGGTGGGACATACATGCTAAACAAGCCTGAGTGTAAGGTAACACATAAGAATATATCTGCACTAACATTCTAAAGTTTCTACTCCCTCCGTCCCCCTAATATTGGGACAAAAGGGAGTGGTGTTGTTTTTAAGAAAAGTAGAATTATGTGGTTGATAATGCGTTGATAAAGTCAGAATAAAGTAAGAATGAATTAGAGCCACACAAATGTTACCAAATATGGTATGGAACAATAATAAAGGGACATCCAAAAATGGAAAAATGGGACAATTATAGTGGGACAGAGGGAGTATAACATAATGTTCTATTTGTCAGGTGGAATTTGATGAAAGTGGCAAAGCCTATGGTGTGACCTCTGAAGGTGAAACAGCTAAATGCAAGAAGGTTGTTTGTGATCCATCATATTTAACTGACAAGGTATTCATTATTTTGAATTTCTGTGGTGTTTAGTGAAAATAGTGTTTCCATACCGATTAATCATCAGCATAAAAGCTGTTAGTGATCCATCATATTTCTTGAATTATTTTTTTCTCCCTATATTGATCATAAAGATTAAACTTTGTTATGATTTTGTTGAGTATATCCACATCGGTTGTCTACTAGGTTTGACTCTAGCATACAAGTGATAAGTAACACTGACTTCTTAAAGATTACTTTATGGTGTGTGAGGCTTAGTTAAGGGATGCCTGCACACTCAAATGTTTTGGACTACCTATTTGGGTAGGTATGGACCCATTTTTCCATCCTTTTGTTGTCTAGCCCAACTTGGGATTACAATGAGGCCATGAGGGGTGTACGGAGGAGTCTCTCGTGATGTCATATGGGTTCTGGTATATGTGTATCACGTAAAACTCATCTCAGTTATCCTTTTAGGTCCTTAGGGTGTGTCAGACTCAACTAACAATTTCTAGAAATTAAGTAGTCCTATGTATTTTGAAGAGAACCAACATAATATATTGTATTTATTCCGATGTGAATCATCAACATAAAATTTTGTTTTAATTTACACTGGCAATCTATTTAAAGTGAATCAAAGTACAGGTCCAGAAGGTTGGAAAGGTTGCTCGTGCTATCTGCATAATGAGCCATCCCATTCCCAACACAAATGACTCTCATTCTGCTCAAGTTATTTTGCCACAAAAACAACTTGGTCGAAAATCAGACATGTGAGCTTGCATTTATAGACTTCTGCACTTGATTTTTAAGCCCTTGTTTGGTTCAGAAGACGGGAGGGGAGGAAAAAAGATACCATGTTTGGTTCAGTGAAGGAGTGATGAGGAATTTGCATTTCTAAAAAAACTTGTATTCCACACTGCATAGTTTCCGTTACATTTTAAGATATATTAATCTACATGCATACCTATAGTTATGTACTTCGTATAATAGTTTTGACTAAAGAAAGGTTAAAGAAGTACAGGAAAAGAATAATCCCAAAAATCCCTGTCATTGGGGAGTGATATATGTGGAGCTTTGATGGTTTCAGTTCATCCACATTTATTCCACTCCCAATAACTTCCCCAACCAAACAAACACCGCTTCTTCACTCTCCTCCTCTCCTCCAAAGTCGTCTGACCAAACAAGGGCTATGTGATAGATTTGATAATAGCTGCCCATGCGGTTATTGTAACTACCACAACTACAGGTACTTATTCTGCTGCTCCTATTCTCATAACGTTGCTCCCAAAGGAAAATACATCGCCTTTGTTTTGAGTGAAGCTGAAACAGACGATCCAGAAACGGAACTGAAGCCAGGCGTAGACTTACTTGGAGCTGTGGATGAAATATTTTATGAAACCTGTGACAGATACATACCTATTAACGACTCTGCAGCTGATAACTGTTTCATATCTACCGTAAGTGGTTTTATAATTGTTATAGTTTTTCTAGTTTTGTACATTAGTATCATCATCTCACATATTCATTCATTCATTTATTGCAGAGTTATGATGCATCAACTCACTTTGAGTCCACAGTACAGGATGTGCTAGACATGTATACCAGAATTACTGGAAAGGTAAGCAATACTCCGTATAAACTTAATTTTAAACATGTTTTTGTTGTTTTGTTTGAGGTCAGTGAAAATAGTTTCTCCGTTGTATTTCACTATTTCTTTTTAGTCATTTAACAAAAAACTTTCATGCTTAATAAGAATTTAGTTTGTCTACATTAAGAACTTTATCCTCACTGTCATTTTAATCTTTTTTTTAACTTTTAATAGTCTCTAACATGTTACAAAAAGTTGATGTCAAAAGTTTAGAGTGCTGTTCTGCGAGTGAAACTATTATTTTTTAAATGGAGGCTAAAAGTTGATGTCAAAAGTTTAGAGTGTTGGAGAGTCATGAGGGATTAAAAAGTAAATGACATAAACTGCAGGGAAGAAAAACAAAAAACAATTGTAAAGGAACCTAAAATTTGCTTCATTAGATACATTTGAATTTCTTGGGACATCCTCATGTTATTGTCTTTGTTTTACCCAATAGTGCAATCTTAACTATCTGAAACCAATTAACCTTACTTGATTAGGCGGTTGATTTGTCTGTGGACCTGAGTGCTGCAAGTGCCGGTGGTGAAGATGAAGCTCAATAGATTTATTTGGTAACCAAAAGGAAGTTCCATTGAACTCCAACAGAAGATTGCTAGTGGAGTAGTTTCTGGCTGTGTAGTAGTTAGTTCTTGCAGTGTTTGCCATTGTTTTTCTTAAGACGATTTTTTCTTTTCACTCCACTGCATTTTCATCACTAATGGATATTGTGATAAAAAATAAAAACCAAAAGAAACTTTCCATTGTGAAAGTTGTATCCTGAAGAGGGTAATGATTATCATTCTGTTTCCATATACTTATACACCTGTCCGGAACTGTCCTGGAAAAATATCAATGCTAGCCTTCACTAAAAAAAGAAATAACGACAAATATGACCGAAACAGAAGTCGTCGTCATCATCATTACCTTAGTGTCACAAATGCTCCAACCTACGGTGGGATAAGGATATGGGTGGACTCGGGCCGGGTGGCCCGACCCGGGACCGGTACTGTTCCGGCCCGGCCAGGGACCGGTACTGTTTCGTCCCGGCCCGGTGGTTCTACAGTGCGGGCTCGGGTCCCCCAAATGATGAACCGGCCCGGCCGGGTCGGGCCCGGTTCCGAGCCTTTTTTTTATTTCAATTTTTTATTTTTCTGGGTTGAGCTGGGTGTTTTGGGTCATTTGGGGTGGTTTGGGGGGTGGGGGGATTAATTAGAAAATTTAAAAAAAGGAAGCAGCCCGAGGCCCGGCTCGACCCGGACCCGTCGGGCACCTGGGCCGGTTACGGTTCACACATTTTCAAATAAAAGCCTGGCCGGGCCCAGGCCTGAACCGAAACCGGCCCGGCCCGAGTCCACCCATAGATAAGGAGGTCGGATGTATGCTGAATTACCCATGTACTAAAGCACACATAGATTGTTTATGGACGATCCATGGTGAAAATCGCTTTGAAAATTACATGAACATAGTGATGTTTTCATCACATGGCCGAAATAGAAATAATGGATAAAAAAATGTTTTTTTAAACATTAAGACAATTATAGTAACTTTAGTGATCATAATTATATTCAATTCTGTATTATAGTGATGATGCACAATAACAATAGTAATATTCTTATCCATATGCTATATTTAAGTAATATTTAAGAAAAAACCCCCCAAAAACCTAGTGTAGCATATAACTTCTTTTCAATTTTGATTTGGAGAAGCAGTGAAATTTATGAATTTAGCTTTTGTAATTTCTAATTGTGCTCATGCAAACTCGGTCGTGAGATCTTTTTTTGGTATAATGCATGTCCCAAGTCAGGATAAAGGGTGTTGTGGTAAGCGTGTGACGACCAACAGTATCACTTAGATACTTAGTCACATCACATAACATGAATCGAAATATGAAATTTTTGGCATCGATATCATGGATCGTTTTATGTTAGCCGACTCCAAAATATTTTGGGATTAAGACTTGGATGTTGTTGTTGTTAATTGTGCTCATGCATGATTTGTTCCATAACTATACATTTTTAAAATTTTATCCTTTTATTAATAAATTTGTCTTGAATGCTCTCACAATGGATTCTTTAGGTCACTAGAAAAGTTTATGTGAGGTGATAGTATGTGATGCTAACATTGGACTCTAGGTAGATTTTGACCGAAAAGTGTTTAATACTCCGTATGAGCTATCATATTAATTTTAGGGAATGTGCAAATAAGCTCTCAAACTAACCAAAAAAATGCAAATCACTTTTTTATAGGAGGCTCTGTCTGGCCGTCGCCATTTGGGGTGGTTACCTGTGGAAGTTTTTGATGAATTCTTTTAAGAATCTTCTTCGTTAAGTCTAGTTTACTCATACCAAATTTCAGGTAAAAATTCAAATGGAAAGGCAGTCAAATGATTTTCTGAAATATACTGCGCTGTGTAACTGCGCAATTATCTTCAAACATTTATTTGACTGCCTTCACAATTGAATTTTTATATGAAATTTGGTATGGGTAAACTAGACTTAATGAAGAAGTTGATCAAAAAATATTATTAAAAATTGTCACCGGGAACCGCCTCAAATGGCGAAGGCCGGACAGAGACTCCTATAAAATAGGTGATTTGCACTTTTTCGGTTAGTTCGAGGGTTTCTTATGTTTTTATTCTCTAAATAGAAGTAGTTATTGTCAGTGATGGAGCCAGAAAAACGGCTCAAGAATTGAAGGTCAAAACTCAACCTATATACAGAATGAAAATGGTGAATTGTTTTTAAACAATGTCCGAGTTGAATATTTCATATGCAGTTTACATAAATAGACACTCGTAACAATTAGATAGATTGTATTTGCTCTGTTTCTGAGTCGTGTCACGTAACTACGTAAGTATTGAGTGAATTATACCTTATTTTTAAAATTTGGGAAAATATTCTATAGTATGCATCAAATTTTGCTGATTTTACGTTTAGATAGTGCTAATTTTTCAGAAGTAATAACAACTTTTTACTCGTAATGAGTTACGGGGGTCCATAAGATATCAAATCGAAGATATTTCAGAGCTCTATACTTTCATACTTTCAGCGGGGTCGACTGACCACCCTGATCCCCTGGTTCCGCCCCTGGTTATTGTCATGTTTTAGCAATACCAGATTTTAAACATGACGTTATTTTGACAGTAATTAGTCTTATTCATATAATAAAAACATGTCAGTCCTTTTTTGGTATTCTCAAACGTTTTACTCCTATTTTGCGAATTTTTCTTTAATCTTTATAAAGGAAAAAACATACGGAATAGTATAGATTGGTAGAGTGTTTTTTTTGGAATTTTAGATCGTTTTCACTCCTATTTGAGAGATTTCCATTTCAAATGGTACATTGTACAAAGTACTCCGTATAATTTTGGAGTTCCTCTTCTATATATATTGATTGATCGATTAAAACTCTTGAAGATTCTTAGATAGTTACATACTTTAACTAAAATAAATGTTGTTTATGTACAAAAACGTAATGTCTTAAACAGTGTGATTATAGTTGTCACATTAATTTTTGTTCAATTCTTATATTTAAGTGATCATGACATTATATTTATAGTACCTTAGTCATATTTTTGTAAATAAATTTTCATTTTTGTAATTTTTTGTAAAAACACCTACCTAATTAGCTTTATTGGCTTAATACGTTGAGATTGTTAGAGTTGTACATACAATTGCCTAATTTGTTAAATCTCCTACATTTTAAAGTAATTATGTTTAAATATATTTCATTAATGAAATAAAAATTAAATGTAAATGTTACAATTGTTTGGCATATTCAACTAGAAAATATACTTCTATAAATACTAATATTTGTTTTTTGGGAAAAAATACTAATATTTGTGATGATACCAAATAAAGAAATTAGTATTTCGTATGCTTAAAATGCGTGGTAATTTTCTCCCTTGTTTTTAGATTGGTCCGATAACATAAATGTATGTATCCAATTATTTTTCAAATTTTGTCATAAAATTAAGGGAAAATGGGCAAATATCCCTCGAACTAACTGAAAAAGTGCAAATCACCTATTTTATAGGAGTCTCTGTCCGGGCGTCGCCATTTGAGGCGGTTCCCGGTGAAATTTTTTTATAAATTTTTTTGAACATCTTCTTCATTAAGTCTAGTTTACTCATAACAAATTTCAACTAAAAATGCAATCGAGAAGGCAGCCAAATAATGTTTGAAGATAACTGTGCAGTTAAAAAACGTAATAATTTTTATCTGAAATTTGGTATGCGTAAACTAGACTCGAAGAGGATTAACGAGAAACTGCATGTATGATACGAGTACTTCGTATGATCGTATTCTTTGAGTGGAATGTTAGAAGATGATGACTGAGTGAGTGGCTGACCTGAGAGTTCCAATAATTCAACCGTTACTTCCATCCTCAACCCATTCTCCAAACTGAGAGCTGACCTGAACAGCCGATCATTGCGAGGAAAGAAATGGCGAGTGGGAAAGACGATAACAGCGCCGTCGTAGCAGGCGATGACCGCACTCATCCAACATCTGACACCTCCATCAACGGTTCTTGCGGTTTCGACTCTCTGCATCGCCTCCTTCAAGCTTCCCTCAGCCCCCAGCTCTTTCAGGCGAATTTCCTCCCACTGGCGATGTTTTTAATCTTATCCATCAATTTTTTGTGCTTTCTGTCAATCTTCTGTTATTTCAATCGCAGCAAGTCAACCGCTTGCTGTTGGGGATGAATTGTGGAAGAACGGTTGAGGCCATTGAACTTCCTGAGCCTTCCCAATCTCTGTCAACAAAGCATGACTTTGATCTTCAGGTGATCTCAGATCTCAGTACTTGCTCATACTATATTGTCTTTCTAAGTGAACTGGAGTATATATTTTCAGTTTTCCTTCATCTCCCTGTAGGAAGGATGGTCCCTGAATTTGATGCTTGAAGTTCATCATTTGAATTTTGAAAGATCAAACTTTATATAGAATTTTCCTTTCAAAATACATTTACTAACAATTCGGAACGTATTATTAATAATACATAAGAAATCAAACTATACTTTTTCATAAACCAATACCATAAGTTTAATATTCAACGAAAAGACTGGAGATTTTCTATCCTAAATACAACCAGAAAAAGTTGTTCAAATGAGAGAAATGTGAAGAAATGGTTGGGATATTCATATTCTCCAGAAATACAAAAAAGTAAACTAATGAAGTTGTTTTGTTACATTTCCTTCAAACCAAAAGGAGAAAAGTAGCTCAGGTTTTTGAACCTACCGGAAAAGAAGCAGAATAGAAGAATAATTGTAGTAGCTCAGTAGCTCATTAAGAATTGTTCACACCTCTACAGGAGTGTTGAATAGTAGTTCGTAGGTAAAGTGAAATAAGTAAACATTATAAATAGATGTTAGGGCATTTAGTGGGCTTAGAATCTTAGTGACTGATTAATGAAAATAATTGAACCAATATGACTTTTATCTGAAAATAATAAAATAATAAGCCTGAGATAAAATTAATAACAAAAACTTGTGAGGAGCAAGCTTCACAATATGCATTGAGGCCTGCACCTCAGTTCATTCACCTTGGGCTTAAGCATCAGCATTTTTTTCACCGTTTCATACCGAGTGCGTGTAAAAAGTGCCTTTTAAAGTCATAAGTTTACCTTTTTCAATGCTTTAGACTTCTGAGTTTTTGTTATTATTTCATAGCACAAGTAATATCACATTTTCTAAATCAAACAGCTCAAGATAATCACATATTCACATATCACATTTCCTACAATCCTTTATAGACAATAATCCTATCATCTAAGGTTTCACAATCCCTGAATCAAATGCTCCCTAAACGTGACTTGATTAGTTGTGTGATGCAGCGCAGTAGAACAATAATTGTGCACTTCTATTTTTTGAAGTGGGGTTGTTTCATTCTGAACACAGGGATATGTCTTTTGGGCTGACAAAGAGTCACTTAGAGAACCTCGGATTGTTAGGGTTGGTCTCATTCAGAATACGATCGCTCTTCCTACAACTTCACCTTTCTTGGAACAGAAGAGGGCCATATTTCAGAAGTTGACACCCATCATTGAAGCTGCAGGGACTGCAGGAGTCAATATCATCTGTCTGCAAGTAAGTATATGGGTCTGTTTGGAACTCAGAAAATGCTAGTGATAACATTTGGAGGAAAATAATAGATATATGAGAAACTATTAAGGACGTAAAACATGTGGCAGGGGCGGGGGCTGAAACATTTGTTCACACCCAATAGATTTATATCCAGTTATGGTTCAAGCTCATTTTATTTATCTGTTTCTAATCTTCTATCATATAAAGACTAAGAAATCTAAGCATATGCTTAGATTTCTTAAACTTATACTCGCTCCATCTCTAATTTTTTTGCCCAATTCGAATGGTATAAGTTTAAGTGAAAGCTACATAATTGAGATTTTCTTAGGGAGGGAAATATTGTAAACCATATATTGTCTTCCTTAAATGAAAATGGGAAATAATTTTGGGATGGGAAAAAAAGAAAGTATCTAGAACCAAATGGGGACATATATCGCTTTCCTTTGCATTTCTAGAGGTAAAATCAAACACAACAAAATAAATCATTTTTAATGTGTTTTCACTTTTCCTAGGATTTTCAAGGATCCACTCATACTCTATAAGTGATACTCTGCAGATTCTGGTGCTCGTTCAAAACTTAAGCATATTGCATCACTTTGTAACTCATGCAGGAGGCTTGGATGATGCCATTTGCCTTTTGTACTCGTGAGAAGAGGTGGTGTGAATTTGCTGAGCCGATAGATGGAGAATCTACACAGTTTCTTCAGGAATTTGCTAGAAAATATAACATGGTCATACTAAGTCCAATTCTTGAGAGGGATTTGAAACACGGAGAGACAATCTGGAATACATGTGTTATAATTGGAAATCATGGTAATATAATTGGAAAGCACCGAAAGGTAACTATTATTACAATTTTATAGCATTCTTTTTTATGATTTCTGCCATGCCGTTTCTCGGAGCATATAATATCAAGTTAAAATTCATTTCAGTTCCTCGACTACACACTGTACTCAACTTCGTCCTTGACTTTCTTTTGCTGAATTTAGTTATCGGGCATATTTTACTCTAGTTAAGAAGGGTATTTGTTCCAGGTTTCATAGACTTTGACCAAACTGACCAATAGTTTGTATTCAAGGGACTAAATCGGGTATTTACTATACAGTTTTTATCAATTTGCAGAACCATATACCTAGAATCGGGGACTTCAATGAGAGTACATACTACATGGAAGGGAACACGGGCCATCCTGTCTTTGAGACAGCTTATGGGAAGATTGCTGTTAATATATGTTATGGAAGGCATCATCCACTGAACTGGTTGGCATTTGGGTTGAATGGAGCCGAGATTGTTTTCAACCCTTCAGCTACTGTTGGTGAACTCAGTGAACCAATGTGGCCCGTTGAGGTACCCATTCCCCTCCTTCTAGCTTGTGATTGATCGTTTGTCATGGTATGTCTCTTTACACTTTGCTGAGGAAGAGCGAAAAATGGGAGAACATGTAGAAGTGAATTTAGAAGGAATTCTTTTTTCCGTTGTTTGGGATAGAACCGAAGAAGTTAAAATAAAGAGGGGATAGAATATTAAATTTTGTTTCCTTTTCTTCTTCTCATTATATGGACAATTCTATTGTTCATAACAAGTATACTTAATCTCATTATAATGAGATTTTTGTGTCTTTCCCTCTAAAATAAACAATTCAAATATTAATATCATTATTTTATTTCATTATTCCTCTCTAAATATATTTTTGTCCAGTCTTAATCAGTTTAAAAGGTACTAAGGTATATAATTATATTCCCCCCCACCCCCACCCCAATTTTGTATCCTCTAGAGAAGAAAGTTCCCAAAGAAAGAGCTAAGAGTTACAGTATGGTTATAATTGTTAAAGGTGCTGAGGGTACCCCCTAGGGCTTCAGGACCCTAGGGCTTGCCCATTACACTAAATTTATGCATGTCAGTTTCCTTTATAAGAAGTGTATTAATCTTGGGAAATTATGAGGTTGTAAGTTAAAAAAGTCATATCAATAAAAGTAGTAATTTATTATTCTGCACTAATGCTTCACTTGGAATTAGGTGAATCAAGGTAACTAACAGTAACTCGATATTCTCTGTCTGGGAACTTATTTTATACTACGTATTATTAACATAATTTAACTTACCCGGATCATTTCCCCAGTTCATTTCATTTCTTATCCCAAAAATGGGGGAAACAAGATGAGTGTCGAAAATGTGATATTTTTACACCTCAACTAGGTTATGCTTTCAAGTTCACTGAAACCCCCGTGATCCTCAATCGTGACAAGACATAAGGTTCACAAGATGCTTGCGTTTTGACCTGGCACAAGGCCTGGATATCAAGGGCTGCCAGATGAACATGGGTCTCACTAGTTTAGGTGCTGAACCATGTTGATGAGTGGTTGATTCCCATGGACAAACTGAATTTAGTTTGCTGTTAGACTTGTTATAGGCATCATAACCTATCTTCAGTCTGTCGCACCCTTCTTCTATCCAAACTCCAAGTTTTGTTATTCCTTTATTTCTTCGCAGGCTCGGAATGCAGCAATAGCAAACAGTTACTATGTTGCTTCAATCAATCGAGTCGGAACAGAAGTTTTCCCCAATGCGTTCACATCTGGAGATGGAAAGCCGGAACACACAGATTTTGGGCATTTCTACGGTTCCAGCCATTTCTCATCACCAGATGCTTCATGCACACCGTCTCTGTCACGTTACAGGGATGGCTTGATCATATCAGACCTGGATCTTAACCTGTGTAGGCAACTCAAGGACAAGTGGGGATTCCGGATGACTGCACGTTATGACATGTATGCTGATTTGCTTTCTCGCTATATCAAACCAGATTTCGAGCCACAAGTCATTTGTGATCCTTTGTTACATAAGAATGCATCGTGAGATGTTATCATGTTGCCTCTGACTCTTAGAATCTCGGGAAAAAATGGTGACAGAGTTGAGCTTAAATAGTTTCTTGTCACGCTAAATGTAAAGAAATTGCTCTAAATAAGAGTAAAAACGTTTGTGAAATCCAAAATCTTATGTATGTGTATATAAATCTTGCTTTCAATCATGCCAATGGTTGCACTTATATTTTGTTTGTCATACTTTTCAAAGCTTTGGTCCAATCATGCCAACAAATGAATAGAGCAAATAAATAAGCCGTGATAGTTTGGAAAATAAATCAGTCTTATGTAATAGTGAAAAAGTGCAACCAACAAGCCACATAGTGCATCAAAATGAAAATGCAACCATTATTAGTTTTCGTTGGAAATTCTTCAAAACTATATATACAGAAGAATGAACACCTCCGAAGTCCGAATTGCCGGATGAAACATGCGTCAGAACTTCTTTTAAATCAAGGGTATACCGTAAATATGATAAAGGGGTTACATGGAGCTTCATCTGCTGATATTTCTCTCTGCTGCGATGAAACTTAGGAAGTAGGTCCTATATTATTTTTATTATCATCAGTATTTGTTTAATAAAAAATATTAGGCACACAGTGACACGCACACCTTTTCTTCTTATTGAAGTTACTTATCTGTTACTAGTTACTACTATTAGTTTACAAAATATATTAGGCACACCCGTTTGTGTGAGGAGCTCCTGATCGGAACCTCTGTATGAAATTCTCCGTGGTTCCACATGGAAGCTTTTAATAAAATCTTGTGAAATGTTCCGATCAGGAGCTCCTCACACAAACGGGTGTGCCTGATAGGCATATGGTGCAACAACAGCCTATTCAATATTTCAATAAGGTGTACAAGAGGAGAAATAAGTAGTCATTATTACTTAAATAATTAGTAGCGGGGTCGGTTTATCCGTGCGTGGATAATTAGCTATAAATAGTGAGGGGAGAGCTAATAAAGGCAGGTTGTTATTTTGTTATTGGCTGGTAGCTTGGAGATTGGGCATCTCGAACTGTCCCACCCCCTGTACACCTTTTACGACATTCTCTTCTCAATAAATTGTTTACGCTATTGAATTCTGTATTATTTTGTGAACCAAATACCAGTGTTCTATCATTGATATCAGAGCATACGATTCTGGAGAAGCATCTCTCGTGATCATACGATTGGCGAAATCCTCAGAAACTCCTCGTTCGACTTGTGAATGGTCAGAACAAGAGGAAAAATGGAGAATAGGATGGAAGCGATGGAGCGAAACTATCACGAGGTGAAATCGGCATTGGATACTGTTATCGCATCTCTAGCGACGTTGAATGAAGAACGTCAGAGCAGAAGACGATCGTGAACACCTCAACAACACCATACACCAACTTCGCGCAGTGCGACAGCCTCCAGAGGTAACTCTGTTCATTCGCATGTTCATGATGCTCGACGCCGTGATGAACAAGGAAGATTCCCTGGTAGAAAGGTAGATTTGCCTTTATTCAATGGTGAGGGAGCCTACAATTAGATTGTACGCATGGAGAGGTACTTTCGCTTAAATCATATAGAAGAGGAAGAAAAAGTGGAAGCATCCATGGTTGCTATGGAGGATAGAGCTTTGAATTGGTTTCATCTATGGGAGAATCAGACTGAAGAAACCAGTTGGGAGGTTTTGAAGAAATCCATTATCCGCAGGTTTCAGCCAGAGTTGCTTCAAAATCCTTACGGGCCTATGCTGAGTCTCAAACAAACTGGAACAGTGCAGGAATATAGGGAGGAGTTCGAAATGGTGATATCACCTCAAAAGAACACGGACACTGATTTGTTGAGAGGAATTTTCATCACCGGGTTGAAGAAGGAAGTTAATTCTGAGTTGAAATTGTATGCTTCCAGATCCCTAACGGAAGTTATGGATAAAGCTATATTGATTGAGCATAAAAATGATGCAATATACTCTAAGAGAAAAGAAGAAGACAAGTTAATGGGGAAGGAGAGAGGACCTGTACCAGTGAAGAATCAGAATTGGGGGGATGGATACAAGACCAAATTTGGCAGTTCATGGTCCACTCAGAGTAAACATGGGGCTGAAAACAAAAATAACAGTTCATGGCTTGATAAGGCAGGCAGGAAAATCACTGAAATTCATCCTTTTGGTGTAAGGAGAGTGGGACCTCAACTTTCACAAGAAGAATATCAAGAGCGAAACAGGAGGGGGCTTTGTTTCAAATGTGGTGAGAAATGGAATAGGGATCATACCTGTAAACTGAAGAACTATAAGCTCATTCTTGTTGAAGATTCTGCAGAAGACGAAGAATCTGGAGATGAAGTTGGAGAAATTCCTGAAGATGAGGAAGTTGTTATGGAATCCAAGTCCATGCAACTTTCACTCATGAGTAAGGAAGGGATTCCTTCTATGAGAGCTTTCAAGGTGCAAGGGTGTTTAAAATGGAAACTGGGACAAAAAGAAGTAGATGTGTTGATTGACAGTGGAGCTACACATAACTTTATATCACAAAGGTTGGTGGATCAAGGGAACATACCCTATAACACTATTACATGGTATAGGGTGCAGATAGGAAATGGGGATAAACTGACTAACAATAGCAGATGTGAAGGATTGACACTATGCTTACAAGAAGCTATGGTTCAACAGGATTTCTATGTCCTAGAACTGGGAGGGACTGATTTAATGCTTGGGATGGAATGGTTGACTAGTTTGGGAGATGTAGAAGTCAATTTCCAAAAGCATGTGATCAGGTGGCAAGAACTGAAGAGGAGTCAGCAAATTCAAGGGGATCCACATATGAAATCTCTTGAGGTTTCTTTGAAAACAATGACTCAAATATTACAGGATGCAGGGGATTGATATTTGGTATATTGTGAGGGGCAATCTGTGACATTGAAAGAAGGAGAAAAGGATGATGAAACCTGGAAACAAGTTCTGCCAGAGTTTCCAGAAGTTTCTCAACCCTTGAAGCAATTACCTCCAAGAAGGACCTGTGATCACGCAATCCATATTCAGAAGGGAGCAAAAATTCCAAATATCAGACCCTATAGGTATCCTCAGTATCAAAAGACTGAAATTGAGAAAATTATAAAGGAAATGCTTAATGCAGGAATAATTCAGCATAGTAATAGCCCCTATAGCAGCCCTATATTACTAGCAAAGAAGAAAGATGGGGGTTGGAGGTTTTGTGGTGACTATAGGGCTTTAAACAAAATTAGTATACCTGATAAATTCCCCATACCTGTCATTGAAGAACTGTTGGATGAGTTAGGTGGGGCTCAAATCTTTCTAAGCTGGATTCAAAGTCTGGATATCACCAGATTAGAATGAATGAGGAAGACAGGCAGAAAACAACATTTAGGACTCATGAAGGGCATTATGAGTATTTGGTAATGCCCTTTGGTCTGACAAATGCACCCTCTACTTTTCAAGCTCTCATGAATCAAGTTTTAAGGCCTTTCCTTAGGAAGTTTGCTTTGGTTTTCTTTGATGATATACTGATCTATAGCAAATCCAAGGCAGAACATCAGGAGCATTTGAGGAAGGTCTTAGGTGCCTTAAAAGATAATCAGTTGGTGATCAACTCAAAGAAATGTTCTTTTGGACAATCAACCCTAGTATATTTGGGTCATATTATATCTGGTAGTGGAGTTGCTGCAGATCCTACCAAGATAGAGGCCATGGTACTATGGCCTGAACCCAAGGATTTAAAAGGATTGAGAGGATTCCTTGGACTGACTGGTTATTACAGAAGATTTGTACAAGGGTATAGCAAAATCGCTTTACCTTTAACACATCTTTTGAAGAAGGATAGTTTTCGATGGGACCTGATGCTACAAAGGCTTTTGAAGAGTTAAAGAAAAGGATGAAAACCTTACCGGTTCTTGCAGCCCCAGACTTCAATAAGGTGTTTATAGTAGAGACTGATGCTTCGGGGGCCGGTTTAGGAGCTGTTTTGATGCAGGAGAGCAGACCTATTGCTTATATGAGCAAGGAACTATCTAAAAGGAATCAGAACAGATCAGTATATGAGAGGGAATTAATGGCTATTGTGTTAGCAGTTCAAAAATGGAGACCATATTTACTGGGGAGGACTTTTGAAGTTCACACAGATCAAAAGAGTTTGAAGATTTTGACTGAACACAGATTGATGGGGAAGGAACAGCAAAAGTGGACTTCCAAGCTACTGGGTTATAATTTTATTATCAAATATAAACCAGGGGTGGAAAATAGAGCTGCAGATTCATTATCAAGGAGACCATTCTTAACTGCCTTATCCATAGTCACTTGCCAAGAATGGGAAGGGTTAGAAGAGGAATTGCTTGCCGATCCTAAATGTCAAACATTACTCCAGAACATCATCTCACAGCCAGATCAGTATCATGAGTTTCAGAATACTAAGGGGTTATTGTATTACAAGGGCATGCTAGTATTACCTAGTACATCCCCTAGAATTATCAAAATTTTGACTGAATACCATGATTCCGCACTGAGAGGGCATTCTGATTATTTCAGAACTATGAAGAGGATATCTAATTTGTTTTATTGGCATGGTATGAGAAAGAACATCAAGAAGAATGTTGATGAGTGTCCTACCTGTCAAACAAACAAATATCAAGCGCTAAAACCAGTCGGGTTATTACAACCCCTGCCTATCCCTCCGAATATTTGGACTGACATTTCCATGAACTTTGTGGGAGGTTTGCCAAAATCACATGGAAAGGATACGATCATGGTCATTGTGGATAGATTGACAAAATCAGCTCACTTCTTAGCTAAATCTGATCCATTTACCGCTAAAGAAGTAGCTGAATTGTTCACCAGGGAGATAGTCAAGTTGCATGGATTTCCTAAAACGATTGTGAGTGACAGGGACAACATATTTCTGAGCACTTTCTGGTCTGAACTCTTCAAACTAGCTGGAACTCAACTTAAGTATAGCACAGCGTATCATCCTCAAATGGATGGTCAAACTGAAGTAGTCAACAGGTGCCTAGAAACTTACTTGAGGCGTATTACTGGAAAGAAACCCAAACAATGGGTTAATTGGTTAGCTTGGGCTGAATTCTGGTACAATACAAATTATCATACATCACTGAAAATGACACCCTACAAAGCTCTTTATGGTCAGGATCCTCCTACTGTGATTAGAGGGGATGCTAATCTGATAGCTGTGGAAGAAGTTTCCAGAATGACGGCCCAAAGAAACATGATGCTCAAAGAATTGAAAGAAAATCTGGAAAGAGCTCAAAATCAGATGAAGCAGCATGCCAACAAGCATAGGAGAGAGGTGTTGTTGGCAGTGGGGGACATGGTCTATTTGAAAATTCAACCTTACAAGCTCAGGAGTTTAGCCAGAAGGATCAACCAGAAATTAAGCCCTAGATACTATTGCCCATTTGAGATATTGAAAAACTAAGTCATGTAGCCTTTAAAATGCAACTGCCAGATGACAGCAAAGTGCACCCAGTGTTTCATGTTTCA